CCGGCCCGGGCCGCACCAGGACGCCCGGCCAGCCCCCCGCCGCAGAGAAGCCACACCCATGACCACCCCACCACACCGCCAGCGACCGTGTACCTGTGGCTGTCTCTTTAAATCCAAATGAAGTATGTCCCGTCCCCCTCCAATTTCCATACCAGTTTGATTATTGTTTGATTGTTGGTTCACATCAATCGTCAACCTTAACCAAAAATCAACTTTTTTGACCATAATTCAACATTCAATTAACATTTTTTGCTGTCTGTGTTAGCAGTTAGCTTACTAATTTGGTCAGGTATAAAGTTTATTTCTGTCAACTGAGGTCACTCAAGCAGCCATCTACAACAAGTGATGCTAAGGTTTCTGGAAAAAAAACTACTTTCAAAATTCTAATAGATCACTTTAACTAGCAACACTATACAAGGTGACACCAGCCCTGTTTGGTGAATAAACTCATCATACCAATCTTTTTTTTTTTTTCAACAAGAGTCAAATTTATCACGGCTATGTTTGGTGAGACAGGTTGTCGTGGTTGTTCCACTTCTAAAATTGGGTCCCAGAGATGTTTGTACTGTTGATCACTTCCCTAAAAGTCTGCAACTGCCAGTCTGGTTAATTTCCACTCTGAAGCTGAAGTGTAAAGTTCAAAAGTTCTGTGTTGTCACTCTGAAGCACAGTTATACAAACAAACAAACAAACAAACAAACAAACATGTAACTCAATCAAAACATGCTGGTTTTGTGTCTGTGTGTTTTAGTCTGTTTGGAAAATAGTAGAACTTGAGTTTCAATCATTTTGGACCTTGTGACAAACAGCAGATCTGCTCAATTCCACAGTCAAGTGTGACACTGCCATCTGGTGGTCATGTGGTGTTCCTACAAGGAAAAAGTCAAAACATCAGTTCACTGTTGAGCTTGTCTGTAATAAGAACAAATGGTTGTGTTGTTATCATCTGTAGGTGACAAAGGCCAGAAAGGTTTTACTGGAGCAGTCGGTCTGAAAGGGAAAACTGGTAAGAACAAGTTTAGATTTTATTTTTGATTATTTCGGTTGGACTTAAAAAAGACTTTTGTTGCTTTTCATAATGTTTCATTAGCCTTTTTTATGTTTTTGTTCATTTTTCACATTATAATAATCTATAGAATCAGGGAAGAAGTGAAATTACAAGGATCAGAATTTGAATTTAGCTGTCTTTTTTATTTCTGTTCCTTCACAGATCATTTACAGTGGTGTTTTTGTGTTAGGTTTACCTTAACCAGTGAGCTGTGTTAACCCTTGTTGTGTTCATCAGGTACAACATGTGACTGTGGGCGGTACAGAAAGGTGGTTGGACAGCTGGATGTCAGTGTAGGGAAGCTCAGGAAAGCCGTCCAGTTTGTGAAAAATGGTGAGTGACCAGAGGGAACCTCGGGTTCTGCTGTGGTGAGTGAACAAGAAGACTCAAAACAAAACATGAGAGTTTAATGTTAGAAAACCACACCAAGCCTTACAAAACCTGGGCAAAATATAATTTTTATCTTGTTTTTTATCAGCTGCCACAGGACAGAAGATTATTGTTGAGCTGTATCTCATTATAACGAGGTGACTTTCTCTTAAAAACAAGATCACGTCAGAACGTAATACGGTTTTATGCACATCACTTTCACAGGTATTTGATTACATGATGGAATAAAGGAAGATGGAGAAAATGGAGACTGAGCCACTTTGTGCAATTTTACGAAGGCCTACGGTGCAAAAAAAGAAAAGTGTATAGCCCGTTTTTCAACCTGGACCAAATGATAGCATAAAGCACTGCTGAATGCACTCTGTATCTGCATTCAGACACTTTTAATTCAGAAACACTTCAAAATCTTAACTCATTTTTACAAAGAAGCTTTTTTTCCTTTGTTTTTACAAGGTAGTTTTCTTGTTATAATGACAATTTCTTGTTATAAGGAGAGTTTTCTTAACATAGCTACATAGTTTCTCGTAATGATTACAATTTCTTGTTATAATGACAGTTTTCTCGTTATAGCAAGATAGTTTTCGTTTTGCGATGACACTTTTCTAAGATCGTTTTCTCGTTAGGGGAGTCTTTCTTGTTCTAATGACAGGTTTCCTTTTAACAAGAGTTTTTTATGCAGGTGCTTTTATCAGAAGACTCATTGTGTTATGGTATGCAAGAGATATGCTGAATAAACAAAGCTTGACTTTATTTGCAATGCCCTACCCTTTTCCTCATAGGCCTTAAAGTTGTTGGTCAAATCACTAAAAATACAGTCAGTTATTATGATGCAAGATATTTTAGAAAAACAACCACCCCTTGTAGTAATTAAGGTTTTACCTTTTGTTTCTTGTGCAGTTGTCTTGAGCTTGAAGGAGACAGAGGAGAGCTACTATCTTCTTGTGAAGGAGCCAAAGAGGTTCAGAGAAGCTTCTGTGAACTGCAAGCTGAGAGGAGGAACTCTGGCCATGCCTAAAACCAGCAACATTAACCGCCTCCTGGCAGACTTCATCAGTCAGGCAGGACTGACAAGGGTGTATGTGGGGGTGCAGGCCCAAAGCACAGACTCCGTAAGTGTTCATAGCCTTAAGGTGGAAATAATGACAACGCTGCTGCTACCTAACATGCTCCTCTGACGGCCACCTTTAAAATACAGAGGAAAAAATATTATTAGCATAATTAGCATCTTCTGTGAAATTCAGTGTGAATGTGATGAGCTGAGTGACTGTTGAAGAAGCTGAAACTGACTTGTTAAAGCGACAAGAAGCAGGACACTCACTAAAAGCTAAAACGTGAAAGTAGCAAAATGCTAGCTAAAAGCCAAAAATTGCCCAAAAACTATCTAAATTTAGTCGTAGTAGGTAGTTCTGAGAAAACAGTGGACTTAGTATGCAAATGTGAACAAAACCAAATTGCACGTCCTGCCCCCTTGCTGCTCTACAAGCCTGCCTTCACAGCACGCCCCTGCCCCATCCTCTCCCCACAGCAGGTCGTCACGAACGTGCACGTCACACAGTTTGGTGAGCAAGCTCAGGGAATCTCATGGCGGCAGATAAATGGCTATTATGCATTCAGAACTCCCAGAAAGGGGCATTTCACATGTGTGTAAATCATGTGTGTCGAGGGAAGGGAGAGAGAAGCACGTGTTCACACTGGTAAGACAGCTCTCTTGTCTCTGATTGGCTGTTTCTGACCTGGAGCTGTGTATTTCTGCAAATGGCTGCAGGAGCACTGGGCGGCGCCAGAGGGCGTGTTTTTTTTTTTTTTTTTTTTTTTTTTTTTCACAGATTATCTGTCTCATGTTCTACTGCCAGGACATATAGTGACAGTTTTCACAAATACGTTATAAATAAATAAATAAATAAATAATAGGGTACATTTTATTTAAAAAATCCCAATTGCAGCTTTAACTAAATGTGGCAAAACACTAGCTAAAAGATGTAAAAACTTAAATCTAAAGCTAAAGATTACAATTTGCAAAAGGTTAGCTAAATGTAACGAAAATAAAACAGGTACAAGGTGCAAAAGTGACAAAAGTTTAGGTAAAAGTTTGCAAAGGCTAGATAAATATAGCAAAAGGCTAGCTAAAAGCTAAAACAACAAAAGGCTGGCCAAAAATATGAAAAGTTAAGCGAAAAGAAGGAAAATGGTATAGGTAAAAGTAGGAATAACAACTAAAACATATAGCACATGTACTAAACATGTTTTTGTTTTAGTTTGTTCTAGAAGGACTTGAAGAGATAATAACATGTTTCTAACAAAATATTTTTAAATAAAGTTAAATATTTTGAATACGGTAGTATAAAAGTTACACACACATATAGCATTCATAGCATCCATCTCCTGAATGAGCTAAAATAGCACAAAATGTGCAAAACATAAAGTTAGCTTGCAAAAAACAAAAGTAAAGAGTAAAACAAAAACAAAACTATTTTGTGAATCCTGACTTATAAAACCTTTATTGCATAGTTCAGATCTTTTGAAATTAGGTTCTGTGGAAGGGTTATGAGAAAAAAATGTCTTCACAAATTTGCCACAGAAACCAATATCAAATATTCCTACATCCTCTTTAAAAACAATTTCTGTCTTGCTTTCTCATCCTCAGAATGGAACGATCAGTTATGTTTATGCAGACTCCAGTCCTCTGCAGGAGTTTGCTGCTTGGAGCCAAGGATCCCGATTATCTCCCACCACAAACTCCAGCTGCGTGGAGATGCTCAGCACTGGGACGTGGACTCACATGGAGTGTGAAACCACCTTGTTTTTCATCTGCGAGTTTCCAAAGACCAGTAGGGGAGGAGGAGAAGGAGGAAGAGGGCCGCCTGCTTTGGCTTAATAATGCTGATTCAGCATGCGCACAATTACAGGCCAAGCATTTTTTCTATTGGATCGTACACTCACCGGCCACTTTATTAGGTACACCTGTCCAACTGCTCGTTAACACTTAATTTCTAATCAGCCAATCACATG